AATACAATGCAGATGATGTATTATAGAATTGTACACCTGTCATTGATATAACTTTATTAACTAATGCCAACCCAATAAACTCAATTAAAAACATTTAGAATACATTTGGTTGCATGTTGTGAGATAATATATAGTGGATAGTCAATTATGCTAATGCTATTTATTAAATAGTTCATTCTTTCTGAATGATTTAAAATAACACTTGTTAAAACTTTAATTTGTTTGATTTTGAGAGAGAGAGAGAGATACATTGAGTTGTTGTTCCACTTATTTATACATTCATTGATTGATTCTTATATGTGCCCTGACCAGGGATCAAACTCACAACCTTAGCATATTGGGATAATGCTCTAACCAGCTGAGCTACTTGGCCAGAGCAAAATGACATTTTTATCATTATTATATTCTTTTTATACTTATGTATGTTGCTTGACTTTATTCTGTTTCACTGATCCATTTTACTTTTTTATTTTTTGGATTCCAGTGCCCACAATTTTATTAATAATATTCTTTGTTTTATGATATACTGTCAACTTTGGTTTATGAATTACTTGGTTTCTTTTATTCAGTGGGTTTGACAATTGAATAAACACCTTCAAATTTAAAAGAAAAAGGAAAATGACTTATATGCATGCATATTAGCATAACCAATAGACACAGACCCGGGGGCGGGGGGGCTTGTCTTGGAGGGAGGGAGGGAGTGGCCAGAGAGGGGTTGATGAGGGAAAGAGGAGACATACGTAATACTTAAACAATAAAAAAGTGCCTAGCCAGTTTGGCTCGGTGGGTAGAGCATCAGCCTGCAGATTGAAGGGTCCCAGGTTCAATTCCAATCAAGGGCAAATGCCAGGGTTGCGGACTCGATCCCCAGTAGGGGGCGGGAAGGAGGCAGCAGCTCATGGTTCTCCTCATTGGTGTTTCTATCCTCTCTCCCTTTCCCTTCCTCTCTGAAATCAATAATAAAAAAAAATAATAATAATAATAAGAGAAAACTTTAATTTGCATCATGCCCACTAGGGGAGAGAGGGAGGAAAGTGGAAAACGCCAATGGGGGAATTGAAAAGTAGTTGCAAGCAGACAATTCTCCCTTAGAATGAAAAGAAGGATGAAAAGAGGCTCCCTAGGGAGAGAGGCAGGATGGAGAATGAGAATGGACGAGGGGAAGATTTATTGGCAAATGCACTCAGGTGACACCTGCATTTTAACCGCCATAACAAACAGCACAGTTTTACTTGAGCTTTCCTGTAATTAGGGGAGGCTTCTGGCCTTCTGTGAAGGATGGGATGACCATCCATCCCTTCCCCTATCCTTCTGAAATATTACTTGCAGCTCTGATAGTTGGCTTGTTTATGAAATAATCTACATTTTAAAAATTGCCTATAGTCTTCTCCAGCTATACCAAATAGCATTCCTGACATGATGGGGAAATATCTTCTTCACTCTTACCTACTAATGCCTGTTTATATTTTCTCCAAGTCTGGTCATTTAAAACGTGTGCAAGGCATGTGTTAATTTGAATGTAACACAAACATGGCCTGATTGGTGTCCTGTAGGTTTGGGTATCTGGATTACCTGGCATTCTGAAAGTCAGCCCTTATTGATGTGATGAATAAGGTGATGTTGGTAAAAGGGGCTGTCCCATGGCCTTGTGCCATAGCAAGTGCTCACTGGTTATTAGTTTTCTTTCTTCACAGTGAGGTGATAGTGGAAGGTTTTTATTTTATTTTATTTATTTTATTTTATTTTATATTTTATTGATTTTCCACAGAGAGGAAGGGAGAGGGATAGAGAGCTAGAAATGTCTCCCTTCCCTACTGGGGATGTGCCCGCAACAAACGTACATGCCTTTGACTGGAATCGAACCTGGGACCTTTCAGTCCACAGACAGATGCTCTATCCACTGAGCCTGTTTTGGCGGAAGGTGGTTTTTTTTTTTAAGTGGCAAAATTATAATTTAAGGTTAAATGGGTTAACTAAGGTTCTGTTTTTTTTTCTTTGAATAGATTTTATGTTCGTATATACAGATGGCCTTGCTAAGATCCAACTAACATTAAAAATTCAAAAATATTCTCTCTCTCTCACACACACACACATACACATACTATCCTATATAATAAAAGGCTAGTATGCAAATGACCAGAAAGACTGGTCGCTATGACATGCATTGACCATCAGGGGGCAGACAGTCAATGCAGGAGCTGCCTCCTGGAGGTCATTGTGCTCCCATAGGGGAAGTGCCAGTAAGCCAGAAGCCAGGCTTATAGCTGATGGGTGCAGCAGCAGTGGTGGGAGCCGCTCTCGCCTTTGGGGTAGTGCTAAGGATGTCTGACTGCCAGTGAGGAGTGGGCCTAAGCCAGCAATCGGACATCCCCCGAGGGCACCCGGACTGCAAGAGGATGTAGGCTGGGCTGAGGGGGGACCCCCTTCCTCCCCAGTGCATAAATTTCATGCACTGGGCCTCTAGTATATATAATTTTTCTATTCCTGAAGTCAGATAATCTTTTAGAATCAGTTGCTCAGAGGTCTCCATCTTCTTTCCTTCTAGCTCTTGTCCTTATGCTGGGAGTGAGCTACCTGATATGCCATCTTCCCCAAGGATGACCTTTATTGCACCCTCTTATGCCCAAGCCCAGCTTGCTCTTGTCAGAGAATCCATTCTAACAGCTCAAGGAAAAGGCAGGTTAGCACGCTGCCTCGAGAACCCAGGGGAATCTGAGCACACAGGGACTGAGCCCCAGTGGGGATGGTTCCCCCCAGCCTCCAGCTTCTCTCTGCATATGCCCTGTTCCCTTCTGAATTGCTCTGTGTGTGAGCTGACCTAAGCCAGTGCATTGAGCACAGATAAGCCAGTTATTTTTGAAGTGTCCCTTTGGTATCATTAGTAAGTATTGTAGGGATAAAATACAAGTTCTGATCTGAAGTAAAAACTTGGGTCTTTGCAGCCTCAAGGGAACCTCAATAATAAAATAAAGTCATTTAGGGGGGTTGTTCTGGAAAGTTTCAAAATGTTTTGGATGTGAGGGCGATCTGGCTGCGACATCTGTCACCCCATTGATCGCCAGGGTTGATTCGGCTGATCTGGCTGGCTAGGTGGGTGTCCCCCTCCTCCCTCACCGATCCATGTGCGTCCCTCCCGAAGCTGCGCGCTCGGTCGAAGAGGACGACTTTCCCCCAAGAGGAGAGGACCGGTCTTCGGTCAAGGGTATACGAGTAGCTGCGCTCCCCTGCTAGAACCTCCAAACAAGCTCTCAAAATGTTTTTACAGCTATGAATACTTATGATGATATTAACCACTCACTAACTTATCCAATGAGCATTGATTGAGCACCTATGTTCTGATGTGTCCTGATGGCACACAGTCACAGCAATCACAGGTTGACTTCCCTTCATGGAGCTTTTTTGCGATTTGTAATTAATTGAGCAGTCTTGACTCCCTTCCAAGGCTGTTTTAGATATCTCCACTTTGAACAACAATCATCCTATATAATAAAGCACTAATATGCAAATTGACCGGACGGCAGATTGACCAGAGGTACGACTAATTGCTATGATGTGCACTGACCACCAGGGGGCAGACGCTCAATGCAGGAGCTTCCCCCTGGTGGTCAGTGCGCTCCTATAGGGGGAGTGCTGCTCAGCCAGAAGCCAGGCTCAAGGCTGACGAGTGCAGCAGCAGTGGCGGGAGCCTCTCTCATCTCTGCTGCAGGCAGGTGGTAAGGAGTGAGGGGTCCAAGATTGCGAGGAGGATGTCTGACTGCCAGCTTAGGTCCAAGGGCATCGGGCCTCATCCCCCAAGGGATGAGTCCTGTACATGAATATGAGCCTTAGGTCAGTGATTCTTTGGGAGAAGGAAGAGCCTGGGGAGTATCAGAAACACTTGGGTCTCTTCTTTTCTCAAGCTCATGCTCTCTCTTCCCTTTCCTACACCCCTCTGAATACTCCCATTTCTGCAGGGTGAACCGTTGGACTAGATGAATGAAATTTTCTAAGAGACAGTCCATCATGATGGAGTCAGATCCTGACCTTGTGACCTTTTTAGGATACTTGTTACTAAGGGTGTATAAACTTTTGCTGTCTTTGTCTCTATGGCAGGGACACTGATAGCCCCAACTGTTGTTATAAGTTAGACAGAAATAGCCGAAGATGTGCTGTTTTACAATCTCAGACTAGCCTCTGGCTACAGACCTTTCCCAGGAACCTTGAAAATGTTTCTACTCTTGTCTGAAATAAAGGTTTTAGTCATATTGTACATAATGCCTTGCACATTGGGTTTCTCACGGACTAGCACTGAGAAAAGAGTGCGTGGTTGGAGTGCTTCTGTGGACACACATCTTGGCTCTGCTGTTTGCTGCCTGTGTGACCTTGGGAAAGGTATTTTACTCCTCTTGGTCAGTTCTTTATACGTGAAACCAAGCTAGTACTAATGTCTACCTCTTACTAAGTCTTAAGCACTTGACGAGTTAATACTGGTCCATGTTAAATTCCTGCCATGTTATAAATGCTCAGTAAATGTTAGCTATTACTATTCCAGCTGTTGTGTAATGAGAAAATTACGTACAACTGTGAAGATAACTCATCAGAACACTAAGTAAGAATGAAAAGTACGTGTTTGGTTTGTAAAGAAGCCATGAAGTCAGACACCCACAGGTTTGTTTTCTTGATGTGTATCTTATGGCAAATACTTTAGCTGCTCATAAGCCTTGATTTCTTATCTGGGAAATGGAGATTATGCTCTCTTCTTTGTGGGGTTGTTGTGAGCAGAAGCAATAACATTTTTGAAATAGGCTGGTATACTCAGGACAAAGGCCATTATTCTGTTTATTGCTGCCTGCTTTTCCTGAACTAAGTTTTAACGAGGTACTTCCCTCTCTTAGGGAAACCTAGGGAGTCAGACTTAGAGTAAATGTGCATATGCTGTGGAATGGCCATTGCTATTAGAATATGACTCATTCTTTCTAAATCTAATGTTGCTTTAGTTGTATACTATTTTCTTTGATCAGAAGTCCCTGTGTCCAGATCCAGCCACAAACTTTGGATAATACAAGAAAGAAACCTCAATTAAACCTAGTGTTTGGGGTCACCACAAGTCACCCAAGCAGGGATGTAAAGAGGATTTAACTTTTTGGTAAGCAACTGTGGCATTTTACATTTGTACAAAGCTCTTCTACTTACCAAGGTTTTTACATTTTATTATCGTTTTTATTGAGGTACAATTTTGTTAAGACCCTCAACACTGAAAGTTGTCTTGAAAAAAAAAGGGTTCATTGAGCCACATGCCAGAAAAAGGTCCAGGTCCTGGGCCATACAGCCTGAACCACCAGCAGTTGGAAAAGACATAATTGTCTGCTATCCTGGGATTGACAGGGGGGCTCTTCTATACAATGGGTTTTGGGGGAAAAGATATGTTATTTTTAAAGAATTTGCGTTGGTTATAGATGGGGCGGGGGGTGAGAAATGGGAAAAGGTGAAGCAGAGTAAACTCATAAGCAAGCAGTAGTAGATGGTTCTGGATTGGTTGTAGGCAACAATCTGGAAAGTTCCTGTATAAGCAAGATGCGGTGGCGTCTGGTGGTTGGCTGTCCTTTCTAGATAACACTTGAAATAGCCGCCTGGAAGTTGACGTGGAGTTTGAACATACATTCAGAAATGTGAACACTCTTCTGATGGCCCTGTTACCTGATCTACATCCCTTGTCACTTCCTCCCACCCTCCAGCCAGCTGTAATTTAATTTAGGGGATCTCAGCATTTTCTCTTGCCAGTTTACATGCGGTGAAAAGTGTAGATATTTAGTGTGCTTTCGATCAGTCCTGACAAATAGGTACAGTTCTATCAAGGTATACATCATTTCTATCACCTAGAAAGTTTCCTCATTTCCCCTCAGTCATTCCCTCCACCTCAGCCTCATGCAACTACTATCCTGATTTCTATCCTCCTTGGTTAGCTTTTCTTGATAGAAAACTTTATATAAGTTGAATCATGCAGTTTTTGTCTCTCTTTCCCCACCTTAGTGTTATGCGTTTGAGAGCATCTTTATTGTTGTGTGTATCAGTAATTTGTTCCTTTTTGTTGCTGAGTAATATTTTATTGTATGGATATACCACTGTTTGTTGACCCATTTTCCTGTTGAGGGACACCTGGGCTGTTTCCATTACTTCTTTTGATCATCAGTATAATGATGTTAGGTAGGTAGAAGTTCCTACCACCTTCATTTTCCAAATTGGGAAGCTGGGCTCAGAGAAGTGAGGCAACGTAAGGTCTCACTGTTAGCAAATGATGAACGCAGGAGGAGGATGGAGTCTTCTGGTGCCAGGGCCTCTGCTTCTCTGCCATTCCAAGGCCAGTTTGTTTCTGTCTTTAACAGGAATTCTGCCTTATCTGACTCTAGGATTTGATCTGATTCTCTCTCATCTTTGAGAAAGACTCAGACCATCAAAATTCAGAAATTCAGCCTACTCTGGAGTAGCCATTGGCAAAGCCTCAGTTTCTCAGGTGGAGTGAATGGACTTCTGAGGCTGGCCCAAGAGTTGGAACAGACAGAACATGGGATCTGGATGACATTGGGTAAGATGACAGGTCTTCAGAGGATCTGAAGACGAGCAGCTTTGTCTTCCACAGTGCAATGGGGACATAGGATGGGCGCACACTAGACAGGTCTCTGCTGAATCCCTGCTCTGTCATGTTAACTGTGGGAACTCTCAGTCAAGTCAACCTCTCCGAGTTTGTTTCTCCATCTGTAAAAAGAGGTAGTTGAATGCTTCCCTCCCAGGTCACGGTGAGGAATTTCCTGACTCAGAACTTGCCCTTCTGCATTTTATCAGGCATGGGCTTGAGGGAATATTACAACTTGCCCCTGACCTTGTTGTGGGATTTCCACTGCATGGAAGAACTAATCCTCCCTTTATCGCTGAAGACACTAATTCATTATTTATAGACTGGATAGAGAGAAGGTTTACTTGTCAGCAAAGTACTCACAAATATATAGCAACGGGGAGGGGCATGTTCGGATTCATTTGCTTTAAGAGAGTTGGGAAAATGAATACAGCTAGTGTTATTTGATGTCATTCCCCCCCCCCCCCCATCTCTGCTCAAGAAAAATGAAAACATCTTCAAGAGGCTAATGTTAGGAGCTAATGAGATCGCATGGTTAAAGAAGACCTGCAGGAAAGACGGAAGGAGAAAGTGTTGAGTGTCAGCTTTCCACCTCCCCATTTCTGTCCTTTTATGGACTTAGAATTATCTCTGGGGCTCAGTTTCTCCAGCTGTAACCCTGAAACAGCACTCATTGTCTCATGCTTCAGGATTTGATGTCAAATTTGATGAGTTCAGTTTTCTAATAATGTACATGGATGCAAATATTTTGGTATAAAAAAAGAGTGGTATTAATGTGACTACTATAGAAGTTGAGGCTAACTATGCATCTAAGACAACCTTACAATCTATGGAAAGATTGATGTGTGGATGACTTAATAGTGGAATACATTAGACTCTGGTCATAGTAAAAGCTGGAAGGTGTCATAGAATAACCTAGGGTTGGATAATTAGCGTGGATAGCAGGAGATCCTAAAGAAATGTGGAGTCTAACTAGCTCAAGCTCCCTGGAGTGCATGCAGGTGTCAATACATGTAACTTCCTCTCTCTTCTCTCCTAGTCTCTTACATGCTCCCAAACAGTCCAATACTGAATCTGCTTTTAATCCCCATTTAAGAAGAAAATTTGTGCAAAATTTATATCCTACTGCATAATGTTTTGGTATAAGTGCTTTACTATAAACTCTTTCAAATCCATAAATTACTCCAAATCTTCACATAAAATAGGTGTTCCCAAATAATACGCCCACCCTCTGACCTGTGGTCGAAGGGTAGCATAGAATACTCCCATCCTCATGATGCACAGAATTCCACCTGAGAAACAGCAGAGGACACCTTTTGCTAATACTGTGAAGGACCTTGGCCTCTGGTCCTCTGTAATGTCTGAAATTACATTTGAAATGCGGTTCTTTAAGCTCTGATCTCCTTGACAATGCAGCTAGAAAGGGGAGCATGATAAATTAGTCACCCTTCAGCTGTGTCCAGCGGGAGCTCAAGGAGAGCATGCGTTCACATAATGAGAGACGCACAGTAAACTGGTTATTGGGGGAAGTCAGAAACACAAACTGAGTGGTATTTCTGTGTTTTAGAGATGAGGAAACCAAAACCAGGGATCAAGCCTGCAACGGAGGTAGGTGCCCTTGACCAGAATTGAACCTGGGACTCTTCAGTTACTTGGGAAGGAACTGGCTGAGGAACTCCTAAGACGTCTGTACCTTATTTATTTCTGACTTAATGTCCTGGCATATCTGAGGTACTAAATCTATGCTTGTTGAATGAACAACCGGGGAAAGTAGGATTCACATTTCAGGGATCGGTGGTTTCTGTTTGGGGGAATCAGAGGTTTTCAGTGTCTTAGGAACAAATTTATATGAGCTCACAGAGGCTTTCTGGTCATGGTACCACTCCTCTACCTGGAACCAAGAGTTAAGTCTTTCCTTTACTGTATTTATCCGACTCTGTGTCCTGTTCCTGTGGCTTCTTCCTTTGTAAGGTCTTTCATAATACTTCTTTTGTTTATTTGTTTATTTGTTAATCCTCACCAAAGGATATTTTTTTCATTGATTTTTAGAATGGAGGGGAGAGAGAGAGAGAGAGAAAGGGGGAGAAAGGGAAAGGGAGAGAGAGGGAGAGGGAGAGGGAGAGAGAAACATCAATGTGAGAGAGACACTTCAATTAATTGCTTCCCGCACGTGTTCCAATGAGAGCCAGGGATCAAGCCTGCAACTGAGGTACGTGCCCTTGACCAGAATTGAAATTGGGACCCTTCAGTTCCACCATCCAATTCTCTATCTACTGAGCCGAATTGGCTAGGGCAAGGCCTTTCATATTTCTTAATTTTCTCTGCCCTTCTCCGGCTCAGACCCCGATGATTTCCCTGTTGATGAAACATACCAGACTTCCTGTTGGTCTTTCTGTTTCAGACAATTTGCATCCAAATATTCTGGTAGGCTGTCCGCAGGACAGTATTACTAAGTCACACATCCTATGTGTTACCCTTGCCCTCAGTTTTTATCAATGGCCATGACCCATCAAATCCAGCTGAACTTCTTCCCTTGGTATTGACAACATTTCTGCTCTCGTGTAACCTACCTTTTGGGGCTTATTTACAAACCACTGACATAAAAACCTGTTCTTGACAATCTGGTTGTTTTACATTTCTTCATGCCTGAGGAAATGGTATGAGAACAGTTTGTTAAACTGTGAGATTACCTTTGACACTCGATGGTAATCAGCTCAAGGATGGGGGATGTGTCCTGTATCTTTTTGAATTTATTCTCCAATGCAGCAAACCCTCCTGTGGAGATGCCCACCAGAGAACCCAATCTCAGCCTCTCCACGGGGTCCCAGGGCAGAGGGGGCACAGCCTGTAGGACTTGGACATAGAGGGCTGTTCTGGTGCTGGAACAGAGTGAGATGGAGGAGGGGATGTGAAAGAGAGGGGGAAGGACTGAAAGTGATGGGCAAGCTGGGAGAGCTGGTGTTGAAGATACATCCTATCTGGTAGACATCCTGGAAGTGCTGGATCACTGTGGGCAATACCCATATTCTCTGGGGTGGCACAACAGCAGGCTTCCAGACTGGTATGTGATGAGAAAGAAACATACTGAGAAGGGCTCACACTAATGCCAGGGAGAGGGCTCAGGTGGGTAGAAACTACACGGAAAACTAGCACACAGGTCATGAGATTGAGAGCTGATAGGCAAAAACCAAGTTGACAACCGATATCTTTTTAGGGCAAAGACTGGCTTAGCAGGGATTGCAGGAGGCTAAGACCTCATCTACATGCAAAAACTGGTCTGAAAATTTCAATAAGCATCAAGCTAAAGTGTTTGATGAAATTTGGCCATTGTTTTCGTGTGTGTGTGTGTGTGTGTGTGTGTGTGTGTGTTGTATGTGTATATATAGATGGAGCCTAAGAAAAGACTGTAGATGATGCTGATTTCCTGTAGCTACACACTAAAGAACTTATGAAACATCTATTAACTCAAAAGGCAAAACCTGGGTGTAGGACAGCTCTGATTTCAAAGATTCTTT